GCGGAGCCCACATCAGTAAGGGTTAGATTACAGTCAGCCTGGGAGAAGTTAAAAAGGGGATTTTCCATTTAAAGTAAAGAAGAAGTTATTGAAGACAGTTGCCTGTCCTTCGTGGGCAAGATTAGGAAGTCACCAGTTGCATAAAGCTTGGAAGCATTTGTTTAGCTTTATTGAAGACAAGTTTCTGTTTGATTGTTCATTAATAAAAGACTTTGTTATACTTCACAAGCCATCTAAAGATCATTTGTGGTGGAAAACCTCTGAGAACTTCTCCTTGGGTCCCCTGGCTTCCCGCTGGGCAAAGGTTGAACGTCCTGTTCCAAAGGAAATTCTTTACAGGCCCAGCGCACGACAGAACACTGACCTTTATCATCATCAATGTCCATCATATTTGGTTTGTCATGTCTTTTCAGACATGCTGTAGTCAAAAGCTTTTTTTTAGTATGTAGAGGCAGTAAAGCTGATATAGACAGAATATTGAGACATTGAAAAAAATAGTATTTATTATTACTAATGTGGTCTTATCCACACTTCCTAGATGAATGTATGGGTAGGAACATATTTATCCAATGACTTTAGGAATGCATTTAACAAAGAGTATTTTAAAACTGAATATGTAAAATAATGGATTTCCCCGATAGAAGCTTTACACAGAAGAGAGCTTGAACAAGAAAAATGGCTCACATACATGTTTGATCTAATTTATAGTTATATGTTATTGTTGTTTTATGTTAGGTTTCATATGTATGTGAGGCATTCAATTTTGCCATAAATATGTTGGAAACTGCTTTGCGTTGTTGTTGTTGTCATCCACTCGGGTGTGAAAAGTGGTATACAAGTGGAGTAAATAAATAATGGTCCATTGAAACCCAAAAAGCTTTCAAAATATAATCAAAATACTAAAGATAAATGCTGGAAATGTGAAGAGAGTACTGGAACATTCTGCCATTTGTGGTGGTCATGTAAGAAAGCAAAAAAGTGGAAGGAAAAATATGAGATTTAAAAAAATTGAATATTAATTTTCAATTCAAACCCGAATATTTTCTACTTGGAATCACAGACTTTGTAATAGAGAAAAATGATGATAAACTACTCCACTACTTATCAATGGCAGGTAGAATAACATACGCCCAAAAATGAAAATCAAAAGAACTACCAACAATGGACTAATGGGTACTAAAAGTGACAGATATAATGAAAATGGATATACTAACTCAGGCAATCAGTCAAGACACACAGAAAAAACAGATTGGTCAGCATTTATGAACTTTATGAAACAAGAAAAATGAACTGGATAGAAGTGATCATACATTAAAACAAAATCTGTTCCCCAGAGAAAGAGATATGAAGAGGGGATAGTGGTAATGCAACAAATGGAAGAGACAACAACAACACACACACACACACATACACAATATCTTGTTCTTTCAATAAAAATATTTTTAAAAAACTGAATATGTAAGGAAATACATATTTTGAGAGAAACTTCATTTTAAAACAAATGTTTTTGAGAAAAATGTGTTAAAATATATTTAAATCATAACACGCACACATTTTGTTCAGATTGTTTATGGCACAGCTTGATGCAGCCATGAAACACAATTGACTTCTAGGTAAACACACAGAATAGAAAAGAATAGAATGGCTTTGCCTCTGTGTTAAGTAAAGTGAGATGGGTTGGAAATAAAACCGATTCACCCAGCCCTTGAAAATGCTGATGCACAAGAGTAGTCAATTTTCCCCTTTGTCCTTTTTGCTGATTTTGCAAATGTTTCACAAAAGGTGATCTTGAGAATCATCCACAGTATTAGCACCAACAAACTTCTTTTATCCATGTCTATCTCTTCTTTTCATTTGGGTATAAAGAAGCTGTGGGGGTCCTGAACTCTTGCCTAGAAAATAGCAGTCTGCTTAATACAGATTGTCTTCAGAAAGACATTGCTTGGCTCATTGCACACACATTTGTTATATCCAAATGAGATTACTGTAAGCATGTTCTATATTAGACTACATTTAAACACATATCAAAATTGCAGATGCTGCAAAATTCTGTAGTTAGGTTGTTACAGGAGGCCACATTTATAATCACTGATATGGTTTTGACTTCACTGGCTCCCAGTAAGTTCACAAGATGAATTTAACATGGCAGCATTAACATTTTGAGCTCTAAATAATAGGTGGACATCATGCAGAGCCCCAGATGTTGTTGTACTGCCAGACTCAGCAGTCCTAACCAATGGTTGGAATGTGTTTGCCACACATGTTCTAGTGGTTTAGGACCAGAACAGTGAAATAATTGTCTGTACCAATTTTCAGTGATTACCCAGGACAAGGAGCATGACAAAATCGAAGAAGATGTAAATGTGTAAACAGGAAAAAAGAAGGTTCTGAATTATCTTGCTCCTTTGTTTATTTATGCTTATAATAAAGTTGGATCCTTGTGATGATGATGATAGTAATAATGACGATGAAATTTTATTTTGGTGCTGACATGAATGATAGTCATTTTGAGAAGACTATCAATATTTATTCAAAACTCAATTGATGACTTCCATTTTAGTTTTAAATGGCTGCTGTATGAACTAATCTGTCAGAAAGTGTTGTTTATTCACTTTAACATTCCTTTTTGTAAATAAACTGGGAGGGGGGGAGTAGCAGAATCATCAAAGATCTGCAATGCGTTTAGTTGCATGGGCATTATTATTATTATGATCCCATTTGGATGAATCTGCCCTTGTCTGAGTCTAGAGACAGTGAAGTGTTTGTCCATTCTAGAAACACCTTTAGGTGGCAAGATTTCATTCTGAACCAAAGTAATTTTTCAAGCATAACTATGTGACCCAGGGCATTTCCAGGCAAGCCAGAAATGTATGCCAAAGCAGGTTTAAAAACCGAATTGGTGTGCATTTCTGTCCCCACTGGACCTCAAAAATCTAGGCTTTCCCAGTACTTCGGGGAGCTTCAGCCACCCTGAAGCCCCCCAAAGTACCCCTAAAAGCTAAAGAAAAATTTTCCTGAGGAGGAATCACTCCCTGTCTCCTAGCACATCATTTCCTTGTGCCAGAAGGCCATGAGGAGGAAATTACAGTCAGGTAAGTTTTCTAAATTTTTAGGGGTATTTGGAGGGCTGGGGGGAGGGGTTGGGCACCACCCCAGACCTTTGGGCTCCAAGAGCCCAAAAGATTTAGGAGATGTAGGGGACTCACTTCCATGACTATCCAGAAGTGAGTCCCCACAGACCCAATACCCCATTAGACTCAAGCCTTTCAGGAAGGCCCAGATCTAATAGGGTATTTAATTAATTTGGAATAACTGGGGTTCCAATTTTTTTTTACCAGGGGTATCATTTGGACACCCCCGGTAGAAACCCAGACAGGTCCCGCATTTTGGGGTTGTTTGGATGGGCCCCCATTCAAACCTCAAAGGGGATATCTTTGTCACACACATTTCCAACTTGCAGCCCTGGCACCAGAGTCACAAAAAATCTGTATTTTTTTTTCTCCTCTAGGAGATCAAAGATGAATTGCATCAGTGTATAATACCCACATTACCATATTCAGGCTATGGCCATGGCCATCTTTAATTTGGTTGGGGAAAATTGGAAAAGCATAGCACATTTAATAAGCGAATTAGTTCTCAAACAATACAATATGAAGAAAGTAAGGAGAAACTATACACCAGCAGCTAGTATTAGTATTAGTGAAAAAATAAAATACAAAATAATATATGCTTGGCTGTCACCCATAGTTTTTAGCCTAGAAGAAAGAGTTTTGACCAAACAGTAAATATATTTCTCTCATCCTCCAAGTACTTTTCTTTCTTGCATGAGAACACTCAGAGTCTTCACTTTTTACTCAGTGAAATTAGGTTCTGAGTACAATTTATTTTGGCTTGCTGGCCATGTCAGAGTCAGTGTGGCAACAACAGCCTTTGGTCATAAAATAATAGGTGAATTTAAATATTGTTTAACTATCCATCTTGTGTTTAAAATCATACAAAGAGTCTTGAGGGAATGCTGTGATAAATTAGGAAGAATATAGCAGAGTCAAAGTCCATAGGACAACCCATTGCTAAAATAGAGACAAAGGAATATATATAAACAAAACAATATTGAGGTATAAAAGATACAGCAAATAACTGTCAAATTTATTTCAGTCAGAAAAAAACTTGAAAATATTGCAGCTTCTTTTCTAAAGCCAAGTCCCTCAGTTATGGGAAACCCCATTGATTTTCATTGACCTTGTTGTCAGATGGGTATGTTTAAGATTATATCCCAAGGAGGAAAAACATAGCATTAAAAAACAAATGTATGTATATATTTCCACTGAGTCCCATCTCTTGGCACATAGGTGTGTTCTGTCTGACATGTTTACATGAATTCAAGGCCAGTTCACATGAAGTTGGAACAGATTAATATGTATGGGCTGTTTCAATGATTGCTTTATTCTGGGCTGTTCCAGACACGGGAAAAGTCCGGTCTGACCCAGGTTTTAAAAAGCTGGGTCAAGGCAGCCTTTTGTCCCCATACTAGCCAAAATGCCTGCACTTTCTTTGAGGGGGGGGGGGGGGGGGTCTGGCAGGGCACCCTGACACCAACAAAAATCCCTAAAAATGGTTAAGAACTTACCAGGTCACCATGAGGCCTTGCAGCAACTTCCTGGAAAGTACCCATTATGCTCGAGGAGGCCAGGGGAGGAGCGATTTCCCCCCACCCCTCGCATCCTAGCTCATAATTGGTACATTCCAGGAAGTGTTCTGCAAGGCCTAATGGTGGCCTGGTAAGTTCTTAACTATTTTTAGGGCTTTTCTGAGGGAGGAGGAGGCGGTGAGGGCCATCTTGCATCTCTGGGCTCCAGAATTGCTCAACACTACAACTGCTTGCAAGCAAGATATATGCTCTAGCAAAGAAAGATATTCCTTTTAAAAAATATTTTATTTTTATTATCTATCATTCTAAGTATCCATCTACTGTTTTAAACTATTTATCTGTTATTCCCCAGGTAATGCAGCAGGAGATATAAAGAAGTAGACTTCTGTAAAATGATATGCACATCACGTGAAAGGAGAGATTCTGTCTTCAAAACATGATGAAGCTTTCCAGTTAGCCTAACAAACAATGAAACTCAAGTCAGCCATTGTTGTGATAGTACTTTACCTTCAAAGCAGCCTTGTGGATGGGCAAACCATTTGCAAAAGATACCCAATGATTTCCGAATGGCAAACACAGCCAAGAGTGCACACGGTGAAGTGGTCCCTGACTCAAGACATCTGTTCCAAATTTTACACAGACTGCTGGAGTTTTGATTCAGATCATGCGGGAAATGTCATTGAAAATATGTTTCTCAATAACCCTCAGATTTGCCCTTTGCAGATTCAGTTGGGAGATGCAGTCTTCATTTCTTCTGAGCCATCTTTTCAGTCACATGGCATGAACTTGGCAAATGTTACCATGGAAGAATTTCTTTTCTGCCCTAGACAAGCAGATGTCCCTCAGACACAGCTAATTTTTGGTTGCAGGTTGAGTGGGATGCACCAGATTGACCCTAAATGGCTTGGAACTGGCACACATTATTTTGCAGAAGTTTCCGCTCAAGGACCACGTCTGTGTCCTTTAGGACTTAGACTGAATGTGACTGTGAAACCACATCTTTGTCAGCAGTCTCCAAGTGCACCATTTTGCTCTGGACGTGGTAAATGCCTCAGTCAAATCTGGGATGAAACATATAACTGCTATTGTAAGCAATCATATTCAGGACAGTTCTGCCAAGAATTTGATGTGTGCTCCAGCAAACCTTGTTACAACAATGCTTCCTGCATTGGCAAAGAGAAGAAAGGAGAACATGGTGAAGATTCTTATGAATGCATATGCCCCCCACTATTTGCAGGTAGGCATAAATGCAATTCGGGAACATACATGATATTTATGATACAGTTTAGCTTTGTATGCTGTAATAGGAAAATAAATAAATAACCAGAGTAGGAGCTGAAAAAGATTTGATAGGAATATACCAAGGGGAATGAGAACATCCAGTCCAATTTTGCTGCCATTTACACTAAAGGCTGTCTCTACATTGCAGAATTATAGCACTTTGATACCACATAGGCTGTCATGGCTCGATGCTATGGAATTTCGGGTTTGTAGTTTTGTGTTGGAGAGCTCTGGTGACACAGCAAATTATACATCATATGGGATGGAGCCATAGCAGTTAAAGTAGGATCAAGCTGCTATCGCTCTGCAGTGTGGAATGCCTCTAAGACAGTGCTTCTCAACCTTCCTAATGCCATGACCCCTTAATACAGTTCTTCATATTGTGGTGACCCCCAACCATAATATTATTTGCCTTGTTACTTCATAACTGTGATTTTGCTACAGTTATGACTCATAATGTAAATATCTGATATGCAGGATGTATTTTCATTCACTGGACCAAATTTGGCACAAATATCCCATATGCCCAAATTTGAATACTGGTGGGGTTGGGGAGGATTGATTTTGTCATTTGGAAGTTGTAGTTGCTGAGATTTATAGTTCATCTACAATCAAAAAGCATTCTGAACTCCACCAACAATGGAATTGAACCAAACTTGGAACACAGAACTCCCATGACCAACAGAAAATATCTGCAGGGTCTGGTGGGCATTGACCTTGAGTTTTGGAGTTGTAATTCGCCTACATCCAGAGAACACTGTGGGCTCAAACAATGATGGATCTGGACCAAACTTGGCATGAATACTCAATATGCCCAAATGTGAACACTGGTGGAGTTTGGGGGAAATAGACTTGACATTTGGCAGTTGTAGTTTCTGGGAATTATAGTTCACCTACAGTCAAAGAGCATTCTGAACCCCACCAACCATAGAATTGGGCCAAACTTCCACACAAAACCCCCATGACCAACAGAAAATACTGTGTTTTCTGATGATCTTTGGCGACCCCTCTGATACCCCCTTGCGACCCCCACAGGGGTCCTGACCCCCAGGTTGAGAAACACTGCTCTAAGAGGACTTTTACCAATTATGAATCAAGATCAGGGACAACTCTTAATGGAGCATAGAGTTAAAGGGCTCCACCTCCAATCAATCACACATCTAATTTGTTTGTATGAATAGTAGCTTGATCACAACAATATATTTGATAAATTTCTGTAGTGTAATTATGACCCAACTGTTGGACTCAAGGAAATGTCACAGGATCCCCGCCCCCCATGATTTCAAAACATGTAGGCAGGCACAATATGGAGATTTCATGTGAAGTAACTATTATAAATGTACAAATTGGAGGTGACTAAGGACCTCATCACATTGAGGTGTCTAATGTGGGTGACCGGGGGAGGGGGGTGGAATTTGCTGGCCAGTGTGATGAATTGATGTGGCAGCAGGGAAAACCATCATTCTGTGCCCCACACCACTTGCATTGCAGACTTCCCCATCACATGGCTAGAAGTGTCAGCACCCGGCTTCCCCATGTGGTAGCCCCATTGTAGGCATTGAGAACATTGGTAGCCACTAGGCCTGTGCAGTTTCGTTCGTTAATTTTGTAATTCGTTATTAATTCGTTATTTTTAGCATTTACGAAGCGATATCAAAACACATTTTCAAACCCGGAAGGGTTTAAAAATATCGAACCGGCAACCCCCATAGATTTAACGAGCTTCCGCTCGTTTCGTTAATGGGATGGAGGCTGCTGGTGCCTGGGAGCCAATCCGGCGCTCCCAAGCACCCAAGCAGTGCACCGTGGCTGTTTCTGATTGGCCGGCGAGCCCTTTAAAAGCGGCTCCGCGGCCGTACAGCTCATTGCTGCAGAGGGCGAGGGAGAGAGAAGAGGTCCGGGAGGGTTTGCATTGGGTTGGCTTGGCTTGGCTTGCAACTGGATTGGATTCATTCCTTGCTCATTCCTTGCTTGGATTCATTCCTTGCTGCTGTGCTTAGTGCTGCTTAATTATATTCCTTGCTTGGATTCATTACTTCCTTCGGTTTTTGTGAATTTGTTTGTTAATTTTCCATTTTTAAATATTTTTTAATATTATTTTTTAATATTATTTTAATTATTATTTTTTAATATTATTTTAATTATTATTAAATATTATTATTTAATATTATTTTAATGTTGCTGTGTGCTCTCATTTGCTGTCTCCTGCCTGTGTTTGGTCCACATCAGGGCCAGTTTTTGGTTCAGTTTCCATTTTTGAATATTTTTTAATATTATTTTTAATATTATTTTAATATTATTCTTAAAAAATACAAAAAATATTCTAAAAAAGAAAAGACTCTTCTGTTGCTGTGTGCTCTCATTTGCTGTCTCCTGCCTGTGTTTGGTCCACATCAGGGCCATTTTTTGGTTCAGTTTCCATTTTTGAATATTTTTAATATTATTTTTTAATATTATTTTAATATTATTCTTAAAAAATACAAAAAATATTCTAAAAAAGAAAAGACTCTTCTGTTGCTGTGTGCTCTCATTTGCTGTCTCCTGCCTGTGTTTGGTCCACATCAGGGCCATTTTTTGGTTCAGTTTCCATTTTTGAATATTTTTATATTATTTTTAATATTATTTTAATATTATTATTAAAAAATACAAAAAATATTCTAAAAAAGAAAAGACTCTTCTGTTGCTGTGTGCTCTCATTTGCTGTCTCCTGCCTGTGTTTGGTCCACATCAGGGCCATTTTTTGGTTCAGTTTCCATTTTTGAATATTTTTTAATATTATTTTTTAATATTATTTTAATATTATTCTTAAAAAATACAAAAAATATTCTAAAAAAGAAAAGACTCTTCTGTCGCTGTGTGCTCTCATTTGCTGTCTCCTGCCTGTGAGCAGTGGATGTAGCACTTTGTGTTGGCAAAAGGAGCGCACTGGTTGGAACTACACAAATGATGAGCGAGCAGTGTATGTAGCACTTTGTGTTGGCAAAAGGAGCGCACTGGTTGGAACTACACAAATGACAAACCCACACACAGCCACCGAAGACTCTTTTATTTTTTTAGAATATTTTTGTATTTTTTAAGAATAAAAATATTTTTAAAAAATATTCAAAAATGGAAAATTAACCAAAAATGGCCCTGATGTAGACAGGCAGCAGGAGACAGCAAATGAGAGCACACAGCACAGAAGAGTCTTTTCTTTTTTAGAATATTTTTTGTATTTTTTAAGAATAATATTAAAATAATATTAAAAAATATTAAAAAATATTCAAAAATGGAAACTGAACCAAAAACTGGCCCTGATGTGGACCAAACACAGGCAGGAGACAGCAAATGAGAGCACACAGCAACATTAAAATAATATTAAATAATAATATTTAATAATAATTAAAATAATATTAAATAATAATATTTAATAATAATTAAAATAATATTAAAAATAATAATTAAAATAATATTAAAAAATAATATTAAAAAATATTTAAAAATGGAAAATTAACAAACAAATTCACAAAAACCGAAGGAAGTAATGAATCCAAGCAAGGAATATAATTAAGCAGCACTAAGCACAGCAGCAAGGAATGAATCCAAGCAAGGAATGAGCAAGGAATGAATCCAATCCAGTTGCAAGCCAAGCCAAGCCAACCCAATGCAAACCCTCCCGGACCTCTTCTCTCTCCCTCGCCCTCTGCAGCAATGAGCTGTACGGCCGCGCGAGCCGCTTTCAAAAGGCTCGCCGGCCAATCAGAAACAGCCACGGTGCACTGCTTGGGTGCTTGGGAGCACCGGATTGGCTCCCAGGCACCAGCAGCCTCCATCCCATTAACGAAACGAGCGGAAGCTCGTTAAATCTATGGGGGTTGCCGGTTCGATATTTTTAAACCCTTCCGGGTTTGAAAATGTGCTTTGATATCGCTTCGTAAATGCTAAAAATAACGAATTAATAACGAATTACAAAATTAACGAACGAAACCGCACAGGCCTACAAACTATATATAATGAAAGGAAACAAGTGAAGCTAAAATGTTAGGAACTAAGTTATGGATTCAGCTTACATGTGCAATAGAACAATGGCTCTCTTTGCATTATATGTATATATGTATGCATTTAATAAAAAAACATAGAAGAATTGCTCAAGTGTGAATAACAGTATAGCAACAATTCAAATGACAAACATAATTATATGGTATTTAAGTCCCATATGCTGTAAAAGCACAAGCAATTTATGGTCGGTAATTTCCAGTAAGCAGCATGTTTAAGGAGAATTCATCCTAAAACTGTCTGCATTTCCAGGCAGCTGTTAAATCATGCTGAAAAATAAATATTAGAAAGTATATTATGCTCAAATATTTGTAGGTTGTTTCCCCCCTGAATTTAGAACATTTGCTTTTTAAACATTTGAGACATAATAGTCAAATAATTACCTTCCTGGAGCCAATGCCTTGAAGAGCAATTTTTTGTGTTTTATTTTTTTGCTACAGTGCCCTGAATCCCCTAATCAGTATGGCTAGGATTCTTGGAGTTGTCGTTTTTTAAAAAATAAAATAAAATAAATACATGCATTTCTATGGATTCACCTTAGATTGCTTTGGCCCAAAATTTCCTTTCCTGGAATAGCAGTATGCCTATTGTGTTTCATGTAGTTCTAGTTATCAGTAAGAGTCAAGGAAGAATTATAAAACAAAATCCAAGAAACTTTATTTAAACAAGACTTCAGGCAACTCCTAATAGTCTCTTTGCTTCCAGCTCACTCTACACTGGTCTACATGTTGAGTCGCTTCCTTGTAGTTGTTCTCTTGCTGTGTCTTCCTTCTATATCACTAAAGCAATGTTCTCTTCTCTGAGTTGGTCCTTAACTCAGCCTTGCTCTGCAATAACAAAACTCAGACAATACTCCAAAGTTTGCAAGAAACTCCTGAGTCTCCTGAGGGTTTGTGGCCATGTGGTCAGCTGGATAGGGTTCCATTTGGTCCAATCCATTATCTACATGTAGGCCACCTCCATTACTCTTCCCTGCACTGATTAGTTATGGATTACCTTTATGTCACTACTGCTGCTGCTTGCTGCCCAAGGAGCTTCCTGTAAGAGCCTGGTCATTGCAGTTACTTTTGTTGAGGGTGGAATAGAGCACTGGTATGAACAACAAGAAAAAGGGGTAGCTATACACCCATGAAGGCACCATGTTATGATCTCAGTAGATGTTACCACAACAGCAGGCCTGCATAACCTGCGGCCCTCCAGGTGTTTGGGCCTCCAACTCCCGGAAGCCTTAGCCAGCTTGTCCAATGGCCATGAATTCTCGAAGCTGAAGTCCAAAATGCATGGAGGGCTGCAAGTTGTGCATGCCTGTTGGGAGTTCCTTAACTGCTGAAAAGTGTCAACAGTGAGATGAGGACAAGATGATGGACTAGTGGAGTTAATGAAGTCTCGACCTGACTGAACTGTCTAGGCAGTGCAGAGTATTAGGCCTGGCACATGCAACAGCTATCATAGTTAATCCAGCATCTATCTAGAGCACAATGCTCCAAAGTGACCCCTGTTAATCAGGTATTTTTTTCCTTCTTTCCTGCTGGCTTAAATTCCTATGTAGCTCCATATATAGTGATACATCTTCCTTTGTATAACATTAACACAAAAACTATGTTAAACTATTTGAAGTTCAGCTAAATGAGTTAGATGAGTGGTCAGAATTTAAAATCCATCTGAAGACCTATCTCTTCTGGCAGATCTACCCAGCCAGTTTTAAGCATAAATTTTAAACTCGGGTCCTGTGTTTTAATCTCTGTCCTGCGTATTTAATATGTATTTTATCAAAATATGTTTTAATAAGTATATTTTATAGAACTTCATTTCAATATATGTGTTTATAGAATTTTGCAAGGTTTGTGTGCTAGGTAGGGCAGGATATGATCCACCTCATTCCACAAAGAGAGACGGATAAGAAATAAAATCATAATGTTCCATCTGGAATATGTTTTAGCAATTAAGTAACATAGACCCTATTTATAATATATTATGCAGCTTGAAACTACATTATATGGGCAGGGTATACTCATGTCATACAGTTTAACTGCACTGAACTGCTCTCTGTGAGTCTATACTAACCATATAATGCATTTTCTAATTGCATTATAAGACAGTGTAGATGGGGCCGTAATCTTTCAGAAGATGGAATTTCTGCATAAACTTTAAATCTGCTTTGCTACAGGTAATGTCCTTTCTGGGGGACAACTCTTGTGGCATCCAAACAACATTTAGCAGGATGTGAGCTTCAGAATTTTTCATTCATTTGGCTCAGAGGATCTGGGCACTCTCTGACATGTGAGCCAGCTAACATACTGGCATCACCTTCCTTCTGAAGTTTTCTTTCTTCCCTCTGTCCTATCACAGGTTTCTTGCTGCTCCACAATGGCCATCTCTTTATTTTTAAAAACTCGGTCCTCCTGAGTGACTGCCTCAATTGAGTGCGGTTCCATTTGGCAGAGTAGATATTAGTGCCAACATGCACATCATGATCTGGTAATCCCAAAGTCAGGGTCAGAACATCCTCCAGTGTTCAGATTCACCTCTGTCCTCCTGCAGAACTTTTCATTTATTTTTCTTGGGGTTTTCACTCTGGAGATGGTTTGGGCCCTCACTTGTTTTGCATAACAGTTCATAAACTAGTCTGTTTATATGTTATTTCCACAAAGTTGGCATTGTATCTTAGTTTCACCAGTTTGCATGTTCTGTTTAAAGCAAGGTTTTGAGTGTTGGGCAGCATGCACCCGAGTTTCTTGTTTGTTAGCTAGCATTCTGATTCTTGTTTTCCCCAAAAGTTCAACTGTCTGCCCAAATTCAGGCAATGAACTGGTGCTAAATCTGCTTCCTGCAGCAGTTTATCGTGGAGATGTTCATCTCTCATTCCACATTCTGACTGTGATAAGAAATTCTGTTTTCACTCCAAAATTACAAGCAGTCCTTAATACTAAAACAGAAGAATCTGGATCTTCTTTACTGCTTTGGTGCCTGGTAAAAAAAAAATGATAGCATTCCACTGTTTTGTCTTGTCTGCCTGTACGTATTCAACTAGTGCCTTGAATAACTCATCCAGGGTACAACCGGAGCCCAGAGCAAGAGACTTTAAATTGTCTGATTGTCTTTGTTGCTTGTGTAAATGTACATTGGGTTTTTATCTTTTGGTTTATGTTATTTTGTATTTTTATGGCATTGAATGTTTTCCTCTCTATATGTTGTAAGCCATTCTGAGTCCCCACTGGGGAGGTAGGGCAGGATAGAAATAAAGTCCCATTCATTAATTTCATATTTCTTGCCCTCTTTACTCTTAAAAAGTTAACAGAATAGTTTTACTTTTTCTTTCCCCCCTTTCCCCCATAAAGCAAGATCTGATCATTCTCTTTCAGCAGTTCCATGCCTCAACAAGATTACTAACAATAAGATTCAAGGATGTTGAGATTTTAGGACTCTTTCCATGATGCAAAAGTCCTTCCTGTTTGTTTTCTCTTTCTCTGTTGCACTGTTATAAGTAGGTTCTTCTTTTTAAATAGCTCCCACCATGTTTCATGTATTTCTAGTTACCAACCAGTAAGACCCTATCAGGAATTCTAAGGAACATTATTTAAACAAGTCAGCTCTTAACAGTCTCTTTCTCTCCAGCTACTGCTGTATATACTCTGCAGAATTATAGCAGTTCGATACCACATTAACTGCCATGGCTCAATGCTATTGGATTCTCGAATGTTTAGTTTTGCAATAAATTTAACCTTTTGTATCAGAGAGTTCTGGTACCACAAGAAATTACAAATCCAAGGCTTCCATAGGATGGAGCACCAATACAGTTTGTGGGGTGAGTCAACATCTGACCATCACAGATACCCAGTTCTGATATCAGCAAAAGGCACACATATGACTAGGAAGAAATAATATAAATAATAATAATAAACTTTATTTATACCCAGCTGGCACATGAGTTTTAATTGTGCTAAGGTTCTCCCAGCCACCACCGACACCTGTGCATCAAGAGTCAGTGCTGAATCCAGGAGGACCCCCAAGCTGCAGACCTGCGACTTCAGGGGAGTGTAACCCCATCAAGCACAGGTTGCCACCCAATACCCCGATCAGACATATGACTGACCTGGAGGATCTCTGTCTTGTTGGGATTGATCTTCAGCCTGTTCATCCTCATCCAGATCATCACAGCAGCCAGGCACTGGTCCAGTATCCGAGGGGCTTCCTTGGATTTTGGTGGAAAAGAGTAGTGGAGTTGGGTGCCATCTGCATAGAGATGGCACCGCAGTCCAAAACTCTGGATGACCTCACCCAGCAGTTTCATGAAGATGTTGAATAGCATGGAGTACAAGATAGAACCTTGTGGGACCCCACAGGACAAAGGCCAGGGGTCTCAGCAGGTGTTCCTCAGCTTCACCAACTGGGAACGACCCTCCAGGAAGGACCGGAGCCACAGCAGAACTGTGCCCCCAAGTCCCATACCAGAGAGTTTTCCCAGAAGGATACCATGACTGATGGTAACAAAAGACACTGAGATGTCCAAGAGAACCAGCAGGGTCACACAACCCCTGTCCAGTTCCCTGCAGAGGCCATCCACCAAGGTGACCAAAGCCATCTTGGTACTGTGCCCAGGCCTGAAATCAGATTCCCAACCTTTGTCCCAGATGTGTGGACACCTCTGTTAATGTCAGAAAAGAGTCTGAAATTCATATAGAACTCTGTGTCCATCTGGGGGTGGTAATAGAGACAACATACCCATGGATCATCCTTTCCCTGAGGGCAGTGATAGGGCGACCATGCTGGTGTCCAGTTCGGACAGCATACTTGTCCAAATTGAACCTGATCCAGTTGTCCATACTGCTTTGAAAATATGTGATACGTCAGAGCAAAATCTAGAGCAGCCTTTAACTTTGTCAAAAGCAGAGCAAAATCTGTTTCATCCAGGATAGCCAGCAATACTAATTGGAAGTACAGGAATACCATTTGGCCAGCCAGAAGCCAGCTCAAGATGAATCCAGATTTCCACATCTGTATGGAATTGACCCAACACAGCATGAAAGAAGGTTTTTTCTAAGGGAGCTGGGTATTTTTTTCCATTCATGGCAATTCACCATGGAACCAATCTTCTAGTTTACATGCATTGGTTTTGCTAAAATTTCAGTGTCTGCATTTCCCAGAGCAATCACCTGACAGATGCTTCTTTAATAGCTCTTGCACTGGGTTATTTTCTTGTTTTGTTTTTGTTTATTTATTTTTGGGGGGGGGGGTAAAATGTATTTCTTGTGCACATGTTAAATAGCTTGATGATTTCATTTATTTTAGAGGTATATCATTAGTGTAGTGTGTACAAACTTGACCTGTCAATGAGAAAAATGTTATAGGAACAAATGTAAAGATACTTGTGGACTACCAATTCAGACAATACGCAGGCTAGGGAGGAACTGATCATTTTTCTACTCATACTTGCAATTCCAGTTTTATTTGGTAACGTCTCTTCATGTCCATATTTTTCTCCTTTCCTTTAAGGGAAGAATTGCACAGAAATAATTGGACAATGCCAACCAAGTACTTGTCTCAATGGCAACTGCAGCAATATTTCACCAAATACATACAGATGTCAATGTAATAAAGACACTTCAGGTAAGACATTCATTTATTGTCACCCAAGTGTACATATAGCTGTATGGGTTTCCTTTAATGTTTGATTTAATGTTCATACTTCAGTTTAATACAGCATGGGAGAAAATGGTAGTTTTTCAACACTCCAGGTTTTGCAATTATATAAATTTTGTAGTAGCTAGCTAGCTACAATATGTATTACACTTACTCAGTTCCATAGTAAGTTATATTTATAGTCAAGTAGAGAGCCCTATAATGAAGTTTCTGTGATGCAGTGGTTTGAGTGTTGAACTATGGGAGATCAGGATTAAATCCTCACTTGTCAGAGAAACCCAGAGTTACTGTGGTCAAGTTACACTCTCTCAGCCTCAAATAAAGGTAAAACTATGCCCTCACTCCTGAAAAATATCTTATCCCACCAAAAACAAAACACCCCGAAACACAACAGTAATTTTATGAATGCCATAAATTGAAAGCATATCGAAAACATATAACATCAACAACATCAGAAATATAATATATTGATTAATTTCATGGTTACAAGGAGGAAGAAAAAAGTTTTTTTCCAATTCATTATTACTTCACATATTTCTGTATAGTTTCGTGTCTGTCTAATAGGGCCATGGGAAAAAAATCAGATGCTGGTTGTAGGCCGTGTTTCGGTAAATCCTTACTTATGATCTGATTTACGGAGTCAGAGCTGTTCATCCCCCCCCCCCAACAGAAATGAATAGAAATGCCCATTTACAAAGTTTTCATAAGATGTTTATTAATTTTCATAAGTCTCTGTGAGTCAGCTTGTTTCTCAGTGTAAGCGAACTCTCCTGAGAGCTGCAGACAAAAGTGCTCTGCTATCAGGGCTGAGCGAAGGAAGATAGATGCTTTTGAACTGTGTTGCTGGAGGAAAGTTCTGAGAGTGCCTTGGACTGCGAGAAGATCCAACCAGTCCATACTTCAGGAAATAAAGCCCAACTGCTCATTGGAGGGAATGATATTAGAGACAAAGTTGAAGTTGAGGAGACAGGAAAGCTTAGAGAAGACAATTATGCTGGGGAAAATGGAAGGAAAAAGGAAGAGGGGCCGACCAAGGGCAAGATGGATGGATGGCATCCTTGAAGTGACTGGATTGACCTTGAAGGAGCTTGAGGTGGTAACGGCCGACAGAGAGCTCTGGCATGGACTGGTCCATGAGGTCACGAAGAGTCGGAAACGACTGAACGAATGAACAACAATCAGGGCTGTGGGAGGGGGGAAGAGAGGAGGGGAGTCCTGGCGATAGTCTTTAAATGCAGGAGCCACATTGTTTCCGTCGCCATTGGGCAAGCTGGGAGGGGGATCAAGGGTAGCACAGGAGCTCAATGGGTCTGTTCTTGAATGCCTTTGCATGTGCTATGCTGTAGCTTTTTGTTTTTAGCTTATCCAGCAGCTTAGGATTCCTTTTAGGATCATTTTAGCAGCAACTAGACTACAGTTTAATTCTGTCACAGCTTAGAATCCTTTTTAGGATAATTTTTCTTCACTTGTGTGTGAGAGGGGTGGGGTTCTGTTTAGAATTCATTTGGGTTTTGTTTTTTTGTTTTTTCATTTTTTTCCTTTGGATTTCTTTAATTTAAAATTAATTAATTCTACAAACTGTTTTATTTTCTTTCCTATTTTAATTCTATTTTAATTCTAGTCTACCAACCAACCTGTTCCTTGCCAAGTATTTTCCTCTACCTCAGCAGAGTACTTGAAAGTATCCCCAAGCCACGAGCTAACTAAGTCCCAGATTCCCCTGAGCGATGTAAGAAATGTCACTGTGTAAGAAAAAGTCCAGTCCACACAGAGTTGATTTTTCACTGCTAGAATGCAGGAAAGCTTTTATCTTCAGTTGCTTACGAAGATATATACACACAGCTATAGACACAATAAACTCTCTCTATTACATCTCCTCTGTCCTCCATTCACTCTCTTACAGCATCAGCAGCCTAACCTACACAGAGCACAAAATGAAGGTGCCAGCTTCTTTTTACTCTCCATCATGAGTCACTGGTTTAGTCATGTGACTCTACAGAGTGTCTGAGGCCTACAGGAGTGACTCTACAGTTGGGACAGGCCTAGAGGCCTCATTGATTTACCATTTTATATATGCCACTTATTTATAAATTGTGACATTCCTTTCCTTTGCCAAATTTGTTGTACTCCAGAGCAGAATCATGTCTGACTTTAAATACCACACCAGTTGAGTAAAATGAGCAAGCAGTTTATTTAGGAATATATGTAGCCAAAGCAGTAAAAAGTAATCCACAGTAAAAAGTAATCTAGTTGACATTAAGGAAGACTTACCTGTCCAAACGTATCTCCCTCTATCAACCAGTTCATAGATTAAGATCTTCTGGGAAGGTCCTGCTCTCGGCCCCACTGGCTTTACAGGTGCAGCTGGTGGGGACAAGGGACAGGGCTCTCAGTGGTGGCCCCACGGCTGTGGAACTCCCTCTCGAGTGAATTCAGATTGGCCCCATCCCTCCTGACCTTTTGGAGACAGCTGAAGACCTGGCCGTGGAACCAAGCATTCGGCCCACCATAGGAATATTTAAAGTTAAAATGAAGGTTGAAAGTGCAATGACCCAGGACTGTTTATGACAACATCTATGTCTCTGTGTGATAGGTGATGCTATTTTATGTAATGTGTTTAATAATGATTATTTTTTTATGAGGGGAGGTTCGATTTTAATGTCTTATACAGTTTTATTGTTGGCATTGAATTGTTGCCAGCACTGTTTCATTCATTTATTTATTTATTTGTCGTGTCAGGAGCAACCAGACAGTTGTATTACATTTTTAACAAAACAAACAAACAAACAGAACACAAAGTGTGCAAGCTTGGTAGTTGATTAAATGTCCTTTGACTAGTATCTGTCCATTTGGAGTGCCTCTGGTGTTACTATAAGAAGGTCCTCCATTGTGCATGTGGTAGGGCTCAGGTTGCATTGCAGTAGGTGGTCTGTGGTTTGCTCTTGTCCGCACTCACATGTCGTGGATTCCACTTTGTAGCCCCATTTCTTAAGATTGGCTCTGCATCTCGTGGTGCCTGAGCGCAGTCTGTTCGGCGCCTTCCAAGTCACCCAGTTTTCTGTGTGCCCAGGGGGGAGTCTCTCATTTGGTATCAGCCATTGATTGAAGTTCTGGGTTTGAGCCTGCCACTTTTGGACTCTCGCTTGCTGAGGTATTCCAGTGAGTGTCTCTGTAGATCTTGGAAAATTATTTCTTGATTTAAGTCATTGACATGCTGTGAACCGCCCTGAGTCCCCTTCAGGATTGAGAAGGGTGGTATACAAATATTGCAAATAAATAAATAAATAAGTAAGACAGGAACAAAACATCCAAGGAAATTCATGAAGCTAGGCACTTGAATCCATGAACAATACAGAAGCATATTCCATAGCCTAATTATGAGCTAGGCAGACCTTGGTGTTGGGAATTTGGCATTAATCTGATGTTGCTTTAGCTAAAGCAATCGCCCCTCACAAATAATTTATAAACCCTTCCCTGACTCCAAAACTGCTGGGAACTGATTCTTTGGGGGCTTACAATGTGTGCTACAATTGTAGTAGGTTTCTTTCTGATAGCCCTAAAGTTGATGGAGAAAGGAGCCCTGGAAGTTTTTCCATTGGTACAAATGGGTAGAATAATGAAATAAAATAATATAAAATTTTCAGAACTTCATATTAGAAGTAAAACAGGCCCTTTAGCAATTGTTTATAAACATTGGCAAAACAAAATGGGGGTCACCTGAATTTTGTAATGAGAAACGAAACGGCTTTTTGGTGTTTCAGACACCTCTGCTGTCTAATTACTTTTGCTTTTCCATGATGTTTCACACTTCAAGATTATTTAGTGAAAAAAAAGTTTGTCAACAAAATTGTGTTTTCCCTCACTGCACTATTCTTGTGCAGAAAAATATAATACTACAGCAATGGTAGGATGTTCCTCTGGATCCTGTAACATCATCCTACCTCTGTTCAGTTTCAACATAGCCTAATATTCATTCTCCACAAAAGTAATTTTCCAAGCCCTAGGCCTTTAAGCATAAGTCAAACAATATAAATGCTATGCATGAATGCTATAAATGCATGCAATACTGTATGTAGATACTTTATTCAAGAAGCTGTGATTAGTTACTGCTCTCTGTTCACCAGATACTCAGCTTCAAATCCAGGTTTGTTTCCAGGTAAAGTGGGAAATGAGCCTCAGCTATCTATATTTGCTTTTGTTAGATCAAATTTAATATAATGCCAGTGATATAATATAATTGGTGTGAAAAAGCTGTAATGTCTTGTCCATTTGCCTTCTTTTTTAGTTATAAAAGCCCCCAGTACTGTACATCACTTTCATAAAGAACGTGAACAAGGTTTCAGTTAAGGTAGCTAGCTGAGATGATTGAGGAATTAAGTTGTTGTACATTCTGATATGAATTGACTTGATCTCTAACTGCTATCATATTATGCTGCTTTAAAGAAACCTTTGTGCTTCTGAAATATTCCAATATGGTTCTTGAATTAAATAAGCATTTCAAAATTAGGGATGAATGAGAAATTTGTTGACATGAAAATATGGAAAATTGCACTTCCCCGGGGGTATGTTTCCCATCATCACAGTTTCCACAGAGGAATGATGCTGGGACACTGCTGGATGAAGCAGTCCTGGGTATGACAGGTATTGCATACTTTTTAAAAGTTGGGTCACCCTTCTTTTGTCTCATATGGGTCTTTTGGTGGGTTTATTCTAGAGTTGTTCTTTGATATGCCCCGAATGACCAAGAATACCTCGCTTTTGCCTACTGTTCTTTCAGCACTCATTGGCTGCTTCTTGTCACATTGTAAGGCACTCATGAAGATAAAATGTTTCCTTGGTAATTTCCTTCAGGCACTCTTCTGTTGAAGAGACCTCACTTGTACAGATCTCCCTACCAGCCAGCTGGAAAAGGGAAAAGTGGAAACAAACCATTGGCATCATATGAGATTTTCTTTTAAGAATGCTTA